CAGGGCACGTAACTCCCCGGAAGGAAGGGATGTCACCCTCTCCAGCGCTGCTTTCAAATCCCCATGCCCCCCTCATGGGAGTCTCTTCACCACTGAGGTTACAGCTATCTGCTCAGACTCCACCCGGCCCCGGGGGTCACTCTCAGCGTCCACCTTCCTGAACCCTCCCTCACATTCTCTCAGGATGTCAGCACTGGCCTCCCCTCTACCACAGCTCCTGCCTAGACTCATCCTGGGGCTTCAAGTCCACAAAGAACCTCCTGGCCCATTCCCAGCCCTTCCTCAGGTGGAACGTCCATACAGAGACCCCCTTTAGTACTTACAGGACCCGGCAGACAGAACAGATTCTGTATGCCCATGACCGCCAGGAGTATGCTGGTGGGAGGGCTGACACGGTGGTCCCAAGGCCCCTGGGTGCCCCAGGTGAAGCCCTGTCCGAAGAGCACGAAGCCATGGTCTCCGTGCTAGGCCTCACTTACACTCACACTGATGGTGCCGCACCAGCAGCCGGCAACAGCCCAGCGCCCGTGGAAGCTGCAGCCAGGGCACCACTGCCCATCCCTCACAGACCAAAAGCAAACTCCCCAGCTTCACTTCAGAAGACAGTGGGCACATTCTGTGAAGTCGCATCCTGAGCAGGCGCCTCCATGTTCTGTGTGAGGGCATGGGAAGCAGAGCAGCTGCTGCCTACCAGGGTGAGGGGCTCCTTCAAGGAAGCAGGCGTGGAATGGGTGGTGAGGCGAGGGGGCCCTTCCCGAGGAGGCTCCGTCAGGGAAGCACGTGTGGAATGGGCGATGAGGCGAGGGGGCCCTTCCTGTCCTTTCACCTCAAGAGTGCTGGCCGACTACAGCCGCTCAGACAGGAGCCTTGCAGGCAGGGAAGGGGGGCTGCTACTTCAGAGGAAACAGCTTACCTAACTGCTGCAACCGTAGAACTCAAGACTTTGACAAATGGGTTTGACAACATGAACTTTCCAAATTTCCAACATTTACAGAACTTGAGATGAGGCCAGCGGTGATATTAACTGTTACAGTCAACCCTAACCCCCAACGTGACTGTATCTGGAGATGAGGCGTTTACAGAAGTGACTAAGGTTCAGTGAGGCCATGAGGGTGGGGCCCTGATCCAGCAGGATTAGTAACCTTTTACGAAAAACACCAGAGGGCTCACTCGGGTTCTCTGTCCACCACATGAGGACAGAGAGCAGCACCGAAAGCCACTCTGCGGAACCTGTTCACAGACCTCTCTGCTTCTGCAACTGTGAGGTTCACTGGTAACGATCTCAGACTCCACTCCACAAAAATACCATTTGCTGAGTTTTGCTGTGGCATCAAAGAAGAACACCCACCATTATCTGAAAAAATGTTAAATACGTCTTCCTTTTCCAACAACAGATTTGTATGAGGCTGTATTTGTACTTCAACCATAAGACCTTATCACAACAGACTAACATCTCCCTTAAAAGACAGAAGTGGTCCGCGCGTGGCTCACCCTGTAATCCAAGCATAAGAGGCCAAGGTGGGAGGATCACTTTGAGGTCAGGCATTTAAGACCAGCCTGGCCAACATGGTGAAATTCCATCTCTACTAAAAACACAAAAATTAGCTGGGCACGGTGGTGGGCGCCTGTAGTCCCAGCTACTCGGGAGGCTGAGGCAAGGCAATGACTTGAACCAGGGAGGTGGAGGCTGCAGTGAGCTGAGAATGCGCCACTGCACTCCAGCCAGGACAAAAGGGCCCCACTCTGTCTCAAAACAGAAAGAAAAGAAAAGAAAAGAAAAAAGAAAAGAAAAGAAAAGAGAAAAGAAAGAAAAGAAAAGAAAAAGAAAAAGAAAAGAAAAAGGAAAGGAAAGGAAAGGAAAGGAAAAGAAAAGAAAAGAAAAGAAAGAAAAGAAAAGAAAAGAAAGAAAAGAAAAGAAAAGAAAGAAAAGAAAAGGAAGGAAGGAAGGAAGGAAGGAGAGAGATAGAAAAGGAAAGAAAAGAAAGAAAGAAAAAAAGAAAGAAAGATAAAGAAAAAGAAAGAAAGGAAAAGAAAAGAAAAGAAAAGAAAAAAGAAGAGAAGAGAAGAAAGAAAGAACCTGAGTCATGTACGGTGCCTCACACCTATACTCCCAGCACTTTGTGAGGCTCAGGCAGAAAAATTGCTTGAGGTCAAGAGTTTGAGACCAGACCTAGCAAAACAGCAAGACCTGTACAAAAAAAATAAAATCAAATCAAAAGTTTAGGCCAGGCCCAGTGGCTCACAACTGTAATCCCAGCACTTTGGAAGGGTGAGGCGGGTGGATCATGAGGTCAGGAGATCGAGATCATCCTGGCCAACATGGTGAAACCCTGTCTCTACTAAAAATATATAAAAATATATTAGCCGGGCGTGGTGGCATGGACTTGTAATCCCAGCTACTTAGGAGGCTGAGGCAGGAGAATCGCTTGAATCCAGGAGGTAGAGGTTGCAGTGAGCCAAGATCACACCAGTGCACACCAGTCTGGGTGACAGAGCAAGACTCTGTCAAAAAAAAAAAAAAAAAAAAAGACAGAAGCTGGACTTTCATATATGCTTCTACATTCAAAGAGATTTGGAAAACTAAAAATTCATTCTTCTCACAAATTATTTTTTCTTTTGGAACACAGAGGTTTTCTTTGATTTTCAAAAAGAACTTGTATTAACAAGTAACTGACTTGTTCAAGCTATTTTATTTGTTTATTTATTTATTTATTTATTTATTTATTTATTTTGACACCACTCTGTTGCCAGGCGCCAAGCTGGAGTGCAGTGGCACAATCTCGATTCACTGCAACCTCTGCCTCCTGGGTTCAAGCAATTCTCCTGCCTCAGCCTCCCGAGTAGCTGGGACTACAGGCACACATCACCATGCCTAGCTAATTTTTGTATTTTCAGTAGAGACTGGGTTTCACCATGTTGGCCAGGATGGTCTCTATCTCTTGACCTCATGATCAGCCCGCCTTGGCCTCCCAAAGTGCTGGGATTACAGGCTTCAGCCACCTCACTCGGCCTTATTTTTATTTTTTGAGATGGAGTCTCACTCTGTTACCCAGGCTGGACTGCAATGGCATAATCTCGGCTCACTGCAACCTCCGCCTCCCAGATTCAAAGAATTCTCCTGCCTCGGCCTTCCAAGTAGCTGAGATTACAGTCGTGTGCCACCATGCCTCGCAAATTTTTTTTTTTTGCACTTTTAGTAGAGACAGGGTTTTGCCATGTTGGTCACGCTGGTCTCGAACTCCTGACCTCGTGATTCTCCCACCTTGGCCTCCCAAAGTGCTGGAATTACAGGCATGAGCCACCGTACCCAGCCTATTCATGTCATTTTAAAATGGGTTAGCAAATAAGTATTCATACATGTCAATTTTAACTTTAAATGTAGTAAAAAAGCAATAGACAAAACACATTAACAAAGCTCCTTAAAACTCTCAATAATTTTTTTTTTTGAGAGAGGGTCTCACTCTGTCAACCCAGGCTGCAGTGCAATGGCGCCATCTCAGCTCACTGCAACCTCCGCCTCCCAGGTTCAAGTGATTCTCCTGCCTCAGCCCCCTGAATAGCTGGAACTACAGCTAATTTTTGCATTTTTAGTAGCGGTGGGGTTTCACCATGTTGGCCAGGCTGGTCTCGAACTCCTGACCTCAGGTGATCTGCCCACCTCAGCCTCCTAAAGTGCGATTACAGGTGTGAGCAACCGCGCCTGGCCAAAACTCTCAATAATTTTTTTCCCTAGTCTACACTGCCTCGGAACGCTCAATAATTTTTAAGAGTACAAATTGGGTTCTGAGACCAGAGGATTTGAGAGCAGCTGGCTTAATGCCCGGCCATCGTGCTGCTCAGAGAGCCCTATGAAAGACCCGGTCACCACTGAATTCAGCTCCTAGGGTGGTGCCTGGAACTTTGCAGAAAGATGCACAATTTAGCACTTGCCAACATGAATCTGACTGCACAGAAACTGTGAGGCTGACCCCAGAGGGCTCCACCCAACACGGGGGCAGGATCATCTCGGCCAAGTACCTGGGAGATGAAGTCCTTCTCCAGCTCCTCCTTGGGCTTGTCTAAGCACCTCGAAGGCTCCTCGCACTCCCCCTCAACACTGTAGTTCTGTGACAGGATCTCCGCGAGGTTGAACTGATGGTCTCTAGAGTCCATGGACACCACTGGGGAGAAGACGGCACAGCACATGAGCGCCTTGCCCCCCTGTCCCAACCACCCTGCAGAGACTGGGGGCACCTGAGGCAGGGGAAGTCCTAGGGGTGAGGCCCTCTGCGCTGCAGGGCCAGTCTCCCACGTGGGTCCCTGCCGGGGCACCCAACAACTCAAAGCACCCCACAACAGCTGGTGAGCTGCACACACTAATTCCAAGGGCTTTTTTTAAGGGGGGTGTCTTTCTGAGGGACCGCTTGTCTTCCTGAACAGGATAGTCTGTGAGGATTTGGAGAATGCAGATTAGGAGACACACACCCATCTCGTTAGGGTGGGGGGAGCAGCAGGACTCATCGGAGTTGAGTGCACGCCGGGCTCCACAGCTCCTGAAACGGGTGATGCCGAACCCTCACCTGCGTGGGTCAGCACAGCATCAAGAACTATGCAGGGGCAGTGCCGGTGGGACCTGGACAACGCCAGCCCCTCACACTCCACCTGCAGGGCCACATGAAGCCACCGTGCGACACACACGGTCCAACAGACGGCGGCTGTCATCAGACCCAAGGCTTTCCCGAAAGAACTGGTGTGTGTCACCATTTTTCTTTACGTTTAGTCTCCAATTAGTCAGACTTTAAAACAAACAAAAGGAAATAACCAGGGTTCAATTAATCCAGACAGGGAGCAGTATAGCCCAAGGCTGGGGGTCCAAGGGCCAGGGGCCTAGTGCAGGAAGCCTCTAGGAGGGCAGCCACAGAGCCTGCGTGGCTGGACACACAGGGGCGCACCACACACAGACCAGGCAGCTGTGGGATATGGCAGACCCCTGGTGGCAGGCGCCTCTCTAGAGTGAGGGAATGACCTGGAGCTGCCTGGGTGCGCCTGGACCCTCAGTGACCACGGCATCCCTGGAGGAGCCATGTAGGGATAAAAGGGACAGCAATGCCTTCTTTGGAGACTGGGGTGTGGATGAGTTTTACGCCGTGAAGACATGCAGCCCTACACCTGGCCCACGGGAGCGCAGCAAGGGGAAGAAGGAGCAGTCACCGAGACACTTGCCCACCCACACTCCGCCCTGTGGGCCCAGCACAGGTGGCCAGCAGGCGGCCTGGGACCTCGATGCCCCTCGGGCAAGCAGCATCGGTGCAGGGAGGTGCAGGGAACCAGGGTCTGCCTGTCTTCCCGGCTCCACCTTCTCCAGCCTGCATCCCTCAGCAACCCCCCCTTTCCCAGCACCCCGGCAAGATGAGGTGGCCCTTAGCTTGGTGCAGGCCTGTGCCGGGGTCCTCTGCTGGTGGCCCGGGCTCTGAGAACAGTCTTTGGTGACTTGGGCTCCCTGCCTCTGCTAGAGAACAGAAAGATGGAGTCCTGATCATGCTCCCTACAGCTCCCTCTGGGCGGGTGGGAGCTGGAACACCCTGGACTCTGGTTTCCAGTGTGCTGGTCACAGCTCAGCCAGGCCTGGTGGGCATTCTATCTCTCACAGCCACAAAGGCCTTGGCAGACCTGGGTGGGGGGGAGGAGGGAGTAAAGTACCTACTGTTGTCTGCAAGCCAGGCTCCCCAGGGCACAGACTGTGTGCAAGGCAGGAGACCACACCAGGGCTCGGCCTCCCCAGCGAGGAGGCCTGCGGAGGAAGAGAAGCAGGGTTAGCTCGGCCAGTCCAAGTCCTGCTGCTGGACATCACAGGGTGGCAGCCAAGAGCAAGCACTGGTCAGAGTCTGTTCAGTGAGCAGGGAAGGGGCTTTGTCTCAACCTCTGAGGCCTGGAGGGCATTGGGTTCAGCACACGCATGGGGCCACCACTGGTGCCGCCTCCCACCCAGGATCGCTTGCAGGGTGAAGGCTGTTTTGCCCCAGGCAGGACATGCATTGTGTGACACTGAAAACCACCCACAAACAGACCTCTGTCCTGACCCATGCTGCAACTGGATGAAGCTCAAGAACAGCATGCACTGGGGGGCGAAGCCAGACACCAACGGCCACGGCGGAGGGTCCACTGATACAGAACGTCCAGAACAGACCAATCCACAGACAGAAAGAGGCTCGTGGGGGCCAGGAGCCAGGGAAAGGGACGGTGGGAGAGTGACTACTAATGGGGATGACAGAATGTTTTTGATTAGAGTCAAAAGCTGCATGACTATGGATACACTAAAAATCAATGAATTAAAAACTTTAGGTGTATTTTATGTTTTATAAATTACCTCAATTTTTTTTATAAAAAGGCCAACAAAACCATAAGTTATCATTATTACAATGTTCAATCTCTCTCTCTCTTTTTCTTTTTGAGACAGAGCCTTGCTCTGTCACCCAGGCTGGAGTGCAGTGGCACAATCTCTGCTCACTGCAACCTCTGCCTCCCAGGTTCAAGTGATTCCCCTGCCTCAGCCTCCTGAGTAGCTAGGACTACAGGTGCGCACCACCACGTCTGAGTAATTTCTATATTTTCAGTAGAGAGGGAGTTTTACCAAGTTGTCCCAGGCTGGTCTCGAACTGTTGACCTCAAGTGATCCGCCCGCCTCGGCCTCCCAAAGTGTTGCGTGAACTGCCACAGGAACCCACAACATCTCTCATGTACATAAACACAAAAACCCTCAACAAAATACTGGCAAACTGAATCCAGCAAAGTAAAAAGACGATCATACTCCATGAACAAGTAAGATTTATCGCAGGGATGCAAGGTTGATTCAAAACCAAAACTCAGTTACTATAATACACCACATCAATAAAATAAAAAAGCCAAAACATAGGATCGTCTCAACACATCCAATTCAACAAAATCCAACACTCTTTCGTAATGAAAAATACCCAATGAACTCAGAACAGACGGGAACGTCTCAGCCTGACAAAGAGCATCTAGGGAAACCATACTCAGCACTACCCTCAACGGCGAAAGGCTGGATGCACTCTCTAAGCCACCACGTGTACAACAACGTGTACTCTCACCTCTCACGCACCACGGAGAGCTGTAGGATGCAGTCAGTGCAAGAACATGAAATAAAGAGAACCAAGATTAGTAAGGAATCCAGGCACGGGGGCTCACACCTGTAATCCCTACACTTTGGGAGGCCAAGGCAGGTGGATCACCTGAGGTCAGGAGTTCAAGACCAGCCTGACCAACATGGTGAAACCCTGACTCTATTAAAAAGAAAAGAGAGAATAATCCAATAGATGCAATAAAAAATAATAAAGGGGATATCACCCCAGATTCCACAGAAATTCAAACCATCATCAGAGATTATTACAAACAACTCTGCACATAAACTAGTAAACCTGGAAGAAATGGATAAATTCCTGGACACTTGCATCCTCCCAACCCTAAACCAGGAAGAAGTCAAAACCCTGAATAGACCAAAAGCACTGTCTGAAGTTGAGGCAGCAATTAACAGCCTACCACCAAAAAAAGCCCAGGTCCAGATGGGTTCACAGCCGAATTCTACCAGACATACAAAGAGGAGCTGATACCATTCCTTCTGAAACTATTCCAAACAATACAAAAAGAGGGAATCCTTCCCCAATCATTTTATGAGACCAACATCATCCTGATACCAAAACCCGGCAGAGATTCAGCAAGAAAAGAAAACTTCAGGCCAATATTCATGATGAAATGAGATGCAAAAATATTCAATAAAATACTGGCAAGCCGATTGCAACAGCACATCAACAATCTTATCCACCATGATCAAGTAGGATTCATCCCGGGGATGCAAGGCTGGTTCAACATATGCAAGTCTATAAACATAATTTACTACATAAACAGAAGCAAAGACAAAAAACACATGATTATCTCAATTGATGCAGAGAAGGACTTTGACAAATTCAACAGCCCTTTATGCCAAAAACTCTCAATAAACTAGGTATTGACGAAACATATCACAAAATAATAAAAGCTATTTATGACAAACCAACAGCCAATATCATACTGAATGGGCAAAAACTGGAAGCATTCCCTTTGAAATCTGGCACTAGACAAGGATGCCCTCTCTCACCACTACTATTCAATATAGTACTGGAAGTTCTAGCCAGAGCAATCAGGCAAGAAAAAGAAATAAAGGGTATTCAAATAGGAAAGGAGGAAGTCAAATTGTCTCTATTTGCAGACGACATGATTGTATATCTAGAAGACCCCATCGTCTCAGCCCAAAATCTCCTGAAACTGGTAAGCAACTTCAGCAAAGTCTCAGGATACAAAATCAATGTGCAGAAATCACAAGCATTCCTATATACCAATAAGAGACTAAAGAGAGCCAAATAAAGAACGAGCTGCCATTCACAATTGCTACAAAGAGAATAAAATACCTAGGAATATAACTAACAAAGAACGTAAACGGCCTCTTCAAGGAGAACTACAAGCCACTGCTCAACGAAATAAAGAGGACACAAACAGATGGAGAAACATTCCATGTTGATAGTTAGGAAGAATCAATATCATGAAAATGGCCATACTGCCCAAAGTAATTTACAGATTCAACACTATCCCCATCAAGCTGCCAATGACCTTCTTCACAGAACTGGAAAAAACCACCTTAAACTTCATGTGGAACCAAAAGAGAGCCCACATAGCCAAGTCGATTCTAAGCAAAAAGAACAAAGCAGGCGGTATCACGCTACCGGACTTCAAACTATACGACAAGGCTACAGTAATTAAAACAGCATGATACTGGCACCAAAACAGAGATATACACCAATGGAACAGAACAGAGGCCTTGAAGGCAACACAACATACGTACAACCATCCGATCTTTGACAAACCTGAAAAAAACAAGCAATGGGGAAAGGATTTCCTGTTTAATAAATGGTATTGGGAAAACTGGCTAGCCATGTGCAGAAAGCAGAAACTGGACCCCTTCCTGACACCTTAGATCTAACACCATAATAAACCTAGAAGAAAATCTAGGCAAAACCATTCAGGACATAGGCGTAGGCAAGGACTTCATGACCAAAACACAAAAAGCATTGGCAACAAAAGCCAAAATAGGCAAATGGGACCTAATCAAACTCCACAGCTTCTGCACAGCAAAAGAAACAGTCATTAGAGTGAGTCGGCAACCAACAGAATGGGAAAAAATTTTTGCAGTCTACCCATCTGACAAAGGGCAGATATCCAGAATTTACAAAGAACTAAAACAGATTTACAAGAAAAAAACAAACAAGCCCATTCAAAAGTGGGCAAAGGATATGAACAGACACTTTACATAAGAAGACACACATGAGGCCAACAAACATACGAAAAAATGCTCATCATCACCGGTCATTAGAGAAATGCAAATCAAAACTACATTGAGATACCATCTCATGCCAGTTAGAATGGCGATCATTAAAAAATCTGGAGACAACAGATGCTAAAGAGGATGTGGAGAAATAGGAACACTTTTACACTGTTGATGGGAGTGTAAATTGTTCAACCATTGTAGAAGATTGTGTGGCAATTCCTCAAGGACCTAGAAATAGAAATTCCATTTGACCCAGCAATCCCATTACTGGGTATATATCCAAAGGATTATAAATCGTTCTACTGTAAGGACACATGCACACAAATGTTCACTGTAGCACAGTTTACAATAGCAAAGACCTGGAACCAACCCAAATGCCCATCGATGATAGACTGGACAGGGGAAATGTGGCACACATACACAATGTAATATTATGCAGCCATCAAAAACGATGAGTTCGTGTCCTTTGTAGAGACATGGGTGAACCTGGAAACCATCCTCAGCAAACTGATACAAGAATGGAAAATCAAACACAGCATGTTCTCACTCATAGGCGGGTGTTGAACAATGAGAACACATGGACACAGGGAGGGGAGCATCACACACTGGGGTCTGTTGGGGGGAAACAGGGGAGGGACAGCGAGGGGTGGGGAGTTGGGGAGAGATAGCATGGAGAGAAATGCCAGATATAGGTGACGGGGACGAAGGCAGCAAATCACACTGCCATGTGTGTGCCTATGCAACAATCTTGCATGTTCTTCACATGTACACCAAAACCTAAAATGCAATAAAAAAAAAAAGTACATCCATGCAATGGAATGTTATTCATCGAGAAAAAGGGTGACCTACAAAGCCATGCAAAGACATAGATGAATCTGATATACATATTGCTAAGTAAAAGAAGCCAGTCTGGGTGGGGTGTGGTGGCTCAAGCCTTTAGCCCAGCACTTTGAGGCCGGGGTGGGTGAATCACCTGAGGTCAGGAGTTGGAGACTAGACTGACCAACATGGTGAAACCTCGTCTCTACTAAAAAATACAAAAATTAGCTGGGCATGGTTGTGGGTGCCTGTAATCCCAGCTACTCAGGAGGCTGAGGCAAGAGAATCACCAAACTCTGAAGGCAGAGGTGGCAGTGAGCCGAGATCACACCATTGCTCTCCAGCCTGAGAGACAGAGTGCTGCTGCTTCTTTTCTTTTTCCATCTCAGAAGAAGATGAAGAAAGGAGAAGGAGAATGAAGGAGAAGGAGAAGGAGAAGGAGAAGGAGAAGGAAGGAGAAGGAGAAGGAAGGAGAAGAAGAAGAAGAAGGAAGAAGAAGGAGAAGGAGAAGGAAGGAGAAGGAGAAGGAGAAGCAGAAGCAGCAGCCAGTCTGAAAAGATCACATAAGGTATGATCGCATTTCTGTGACGTTCTGGAAAACTGCAACTATGCCTCGTTGCAGGCTCAAACTCTGGGCTCATGCAATCCTCCCACCTCAGCCTCCCAAGTAGTTAGGACTCCAGGCAAGTGCGGCCACATCCAGCTAATTTTTTTTTTTTTTCGTAGAGACAGGATCTCTCTATGTTCCCCAGGCTAGTATTGAACTCCTGCGCTCAAGTGAACCTCCCAGCTCAGCCTCCCATGTAGCTTGCACTTACGGCATGGACCACTACACCCAACTAATTTTTTTAAAAAATGATAAAGACGGGCCCCAATATATTGTCCAGACTAATCTCAACCTCCTGGCCTCAGGCAATACTCCCCACTTGGCCTCGCAAAGTGTTGGGATTACAGGCATGAGCTACTGCACCCCACCTGATTTTTTAATCAAGTTATTTTTTATTGTTGAGTTATATGACTTGTTTTATACGTTTCTGGATATTAACTCAGTTATATGACTTGCAAATATTTTCTCCCATTCCGTAGGTTGCCTTGTCACTCTGTGGATGGTCTCCTTTGCTACACAGAAGCTTTTAAGTTTGATGTGCTCCCACCTAATTTTGCTTTGATACCTTGTGCCTTTGGCATCATATCCAAGAAGTCATTGCTCATTCCAATTTTATAAACAGTTAATGTTTTTTTCTTGAAGTTCTGTACTTTTAGGTCTTACATTTCAGTCTTTAATCTATTTGAGCTAATGATAATAGATCACGCATTATGTGGTAGTATTCCATATAATGGAATTATATGGTTTGGATCTGTGTCCCTGTCCAAATCTTATGTTGAAATGTAATCCCCAGTGTTGGAGGTGGGATCTGGTGGGGGTGATTGGATTATGTAGCAAACTTGTTATGAGCTATTTAGCAGCATCCCTCTTTGGTAACGTGTAGCGGGATATGGTTAAAAGCGTGCAGTCCTGCCCCCAGCACCTTTCTCTAGTCCTCCTGCTCTCACCATGTGAGTGCTGATTCCCCTTTCTCCTTCCACCATGAGTGTAAGTTTCCCAAGAAGCCAAGCAGGTGCCAGCATCATGCTTCCTGTACAGCCTGCAGAACAATGAGCCAATTACATCTATGTTCATTAGAAATTACCCAATCTCGGCCGGGCGCGGTGGCTCAAGCCTGTAATCCCAGCACTGTGGGAGGCCGAGGCGGGTGGATCACGAGGTCAAGAGATCGAGACCATCCCGGTCAACATGGTGAAACCCTGTCTCTACTAAAAATACAAAAAATTAGCTGGGCATGGTGGCACGTGCCTGTAATCCCAGCAACTCAGGAGGCTGAGGCAGGAGAATTGCCTGAA